ACTGTTATTTTATAAATAAGTTATTAGATGTTAGATAAGATTGTAGGAATATATAGCTTTATTGATGTTTTTAATTAATTCAACATGTCATTCATTATTCTGAATACTTTACACAGTGTAAACAATATAAAGCTTCCGAAATTTGATACTAACCGTGAAAAATTTCCAGAGTATCTCACGGCCGACATTATGCTGTCTTTATTAAATGAAGTATGAACAGGCTTGATATTTTAGAAATATTTATTATCAAGATTATAATTTCCTCATCGATATAAGTTCATAATTTAACCATGTTGCGGATCTTAAATTGAACTAAAAATATCAATAAATAAACTAATTAAAATTCTTTGAATGTTTGTTGAACCAAAAAATTTCACGTTGTTGGAGTATTTGGACTTCTACCCGATATCATTCAAAAAATTTAATTAGTGTGAGAAACCAATACTTTATAATGAATGAACCCGCAATAGAAAAATGTAAATCTTAAAAACTGGAAAAATTCACCATAACTAAATCAATCTAGAACAAACATAAAAGTAATTATGATTTTTTATTCCTATTCAGAATGAAAAATTACGTATGAAGTGCCAACTTTTTAAAATAATTTACGAAGAATAACGATAATTAATTAAACTAAACTGTTTTTCGTTTTATGTAGCATGATATTTTCTTAACAGATCTTAGATATCTTCGTATCACTTATTTCATGTCTGTAATCGATTTCTCTCTTTGCAAGCAACAGTTTTCTTAATGACTATTTAATCCTTTTTTTTTAAAAAATTGTACACGTTTAAAATTGGTACATATAATATCGTGAATGATCAAGAAAATGCCGATTTTCACCGGTGAATGTCAATAATCACCTAGTCCGATTTTAGATAAATTTATTTATTGATATTATTATGCTTATTCGATTATTTAATATCTCCTGAGGGTATATTGAGAAAAACATCAGTGTGCGAAGTACCGGACAAATGTCCTTGACCTTAACAAAACATCACTGTAGGGCAGTTGAACTAAACTAGACCTAGCTCGAACATTTACCAAAGGGACTATGTGATTGTCAACATTCACTGATGNAGCTTTAGATGAATTGACGTCGTTTGCCAAACAACCTCTGAGCGTGTTGAAACATGTTGGGTGCGACAGTGTATTTCATAATGTGTTAATTTGATTCGCAACTTCTGCGAAACTTCTCGAACGATAAAAATACTTGTAAACTTAATGTTTTGTCTCTTTCAATAACTCATATAAACTTCGTATACTGCTATTTTCTAAATAAGTTATTAGTTGCTAGATAAGATTGCAGGAATATATAGCTTTATTGATGTTTTTAATTAATTCTACACGTCATCCGTTTTTCTGAATAGTTTACAAAGTGTAAACAATATGAAGCTTCCTAAATTTGATACGAACCATAAAAAAACTTGCAGCGTATCCCACGGCCGATATGATACTGTCTTTATTACATGAAGTATGAACAGGCTTGACGCCGGGTGGCTGAGCGGTAGCGCTTCGCTCTGTCGTGCCACAGGTCCCTGGTTCGATCCTCGCGCCGGGCAAGGTTGACTCACCCTTTCATTCTTTCAGTGGGTCGATAGATGAGTACCAAGCATGTTTGGGAACTAAACACTGGGGGTTCCGCGTTCGGCTGACCACCTGACCGGAACATCTGCTCCTGCACCGCAGAGCCCAAGGTCAAGAAAACTGAGATGAGCACAGTAGGCCTTGGCCCTCTATGGGCTGTCGCGCTGCTGAGTTTAGTTTATGATCAGGCTTGATATTTTAGAAAGTTTTAGTATTAAGACTATAATTTACTCATCGATATGATCTTTTTTATCAAGTTCATATAATTAACCATGTTACGGAACTTAAATTGAACTGAAAATATAAATAAATTAACTAACTACAATTCTTTGAATGTTTGTTGAACCAAAAATTTTCGAGGCCGTTGGGGTATTTGGACACATATACCCGATATCATTCTCAAAAAACTGAATTAGTGTAAGAAAACAATAGTTTATAATGATTTAACCCGCAATGGAAAAATGTAAATCTTGAAAACTGGAAAAATTCATCATAACAACTCAATCTAGAACAAACATAAAAGTAATTATGATTTTTTTATTCCTAAACAGAATGAAAAATTAACCACAAATTGCACCTTTTTAAAATATTTTTTTAAGAATAACGATAATTAATTAAACTAAACTGTTTTTCGTTTTGTGTAGCATGATATTTTCTTAACAGATCTTAGATATCTTCGTATCACTTATTTCATGTCTGTAATCGATTTCTCTCTTTGCAAGCAACAGTTTTCTTAATGACTATTTAATCTATTTTTTTTTAATTGTACACGTTTAAAATTGGTACATATAATATCGTGAATGATCAAGAAAATGCCGATTTTCACCGGTGAATGTCAATAATCACCTAGTCCGATTTTAGATAAATTTATTTATTGATATTATTATGCTTATTCGATTATTTAATATCTCCTGAGGGTATATTGAGAAAAACATCAGTGTGCGAAGTACCGGACAAATGTCCTTGACCTTAACAAAACATCACTGTAGGGCAGTTGAACTAAACTAGACCTAGCTCGAACATTTACCAAAGGGACTATGTGATTGTCAACATTCACTGATGGAAGTCAACCACCACCAATTTCAGTCATTCACAGTAACATATAAAACATGAGATGTGTCCAGAGATGCCAACTGCTCCGGGGAAGACAGAATATTTCAAAAAGCGGTAGAGAACTTAAAACTAATATTTGCAGATGTTAGGTCATTTTTGCTGACTTTTTAAAAGGCTCAACACGGTTTTTTTGGTACCAAAAGTGAGTATAACTTAAACCTTTGAATTATTTAGAAGTAGTGGTATGTAAAAACCCTATAAATCGAATTTATTAAATCAAGAATCATACATTACAAAGCTACCATTCGAAAATATTTTTCTACAGTCCGGTAGATACAATGTAGATACATTGTATCTACAGATGTAGGGGAGTTACAGCACTACATCAGAAATAAAATTTCATAGTAACCCGATCCAGGAAATGTCGTCATCGCTTCTAGGGGCGCTTCCTTATTATGAACTGTTACTTTGTGTGTTTCTGAACAAGTTGTAACCGTCCTTTGCCTTCTACGATGACATTTCCGGGCATGTGCTTCTAAGTAATTTTAATCCAGATGATGAGTCATAACTCACCCAACAGTTTTTTCGTAACATCCAAGCTACCTCCTGTTATATATAACTTTCCATTTTAAACTTGTACATTTCGACAAAAAAAAGTTGAAAAAAAATATCATTTAAAAAAATTTATATTTGAATTCTCCTAACCTGAACCAACAAAAAATTTGTTCGTCAGTGTTATCTGTAACTGAACAATTTTAAAAGTAAAATAAATGTAAGATATGCACTGAGTTAATAAGTTTGAAATAGAATAATTTTCAAATGTACAATATTGAACTTTAAAAAAAAGAAACGGAATTTTATTTTAAGGGGTTTGTTTAGACAGATTATTATTTAATAATGACAAAATACATCAGTAAGTTCTTTAAGAATTTATCATTAATTCCATTTTATTTTTTTAAGATTATCAGTTAAAGTAACGTTTTTCACAAACTTTTGACAACACAAAAAATTTTGCTAACATTTGAATATTTTAGGTGAACCTTTGGGAGCACCGTCAATCGAAAATCAGCACGAACTTTCTCGATTTAAAAACATTCAGTTTTACATTTCTAGTAGTTGGTATCATTTGTTGAATCAGTGTTAACAGACTGGCTGCACTGCAACCGAAAAGGATTAAAATGACCACTTCATTGGAAAAAAATGCAGTAAAAATAATATACTAATTCGGAGCTGCTTTTTCCGATAAATAACGTTCGTCAACATAATAGCAACGACCACCTATGTTTTAGCTCAAATTGAACAGTGAAAGAGGGCTGACAATTCACAAACCTTGATTGAAAATAATTTTCAAGCAATAAATGCCTTATAAATTTATTGTATCCCTTGAAAAAGTAATTTTATTTTAACCATTTAAAACTGGTTTCTAATTTTTCATAGCTAAAGAATTTCTTTTGGAAACACACTGTTTTTTTTTTTTTTTNTTTTAATTTTTTTTTTTTTTTTTTTTTTTTTTTTACCATAGATAATACTACTAAGAAGTTTTACAAATAATATGTATAAAAACTTGCTGGAAAGTGTTTTTTATGTTTTTAGACCTGGTGGGACAATAATGTCCCATGAAAAAAGACTACTGGGACATATACATCCCAACTACGTAGAAGTAATTTTTTTAAAATTATTTCCATATAATAAATTTAGAAAATCATGCAACTAAAAATAACGTAAAAGGATATAAATATTATGATGCTCGACGGTGACTTAGTTTTATTTCACTTATTTTCTTCATGATATGATGCATAAATCTTCACAAACGTGTGATGTCTTCAAAGCTACGCTAACCATCTGAACAGAAGTTCAAGACTGTAATGTGCAAATCTTATGTTAAAAGGGGATTTATTTATCCCAAAGCATACTTGGATAGTCTGATGGGACATATATGTCCCGTAAGATTCAAAAGGGTTAAAAGGTCAGATTATAAATGACCTTAAATTTCAACCTTGGACTTAGGATAAGAATTTAGATTGTCCTGTTACTCTTTCTTCATTCAAAGAGTATTAAAGGTGTTTCACATTTAATGTGTAGTAAAATCAAAGGATGGTTTAAATAAATTCTTTGAAACTTTTTTAAATCATACGACTAAATTTTGGTCCCTATAGTAGATTGAATGATTTAGTGTGAACGTTCTAATGGGAATTAAAATAACATCTCATTTTTGGTATGTGATCACATTTATTGTATTGTTATGATATCACGCTTATGGACTTAACTGCAGTGGGGGTCAAACCAAACAGTATAAATTGTATGATGCTTCCATTCATTCATAAATTTCTATGAGTAATAAAATCTGTTTTCGTTTTCAGGATTATTATGTGGTGCTTTTATCACCCTGTGAGCTGGATGCAACTATGAAAATGATCTTGCAAGTTCCAATGTGGGCACAGAGAGTTATTTACATTCAAGGATCAGCACTGAAAGACTTCGATTTGGCAAGGGCAAGGTATTTTCAAAATTCTATTTCTCTCTATTTTTTTAATAAAATAATCATTATTTCTTTTAAAAGGCCTCATTTCAGATTTTTTAAAAATTTATTTGAAACTTTTTTAAAACAATTTTATTGAAATGAAATCCGATTTACAAACAACAAGAGCGATTACAAACATGGTTTTTTTCCCTCTAAAGATTTAAAGTCAATCAAAGAATAAAATTAATTATGTATATAACTATTATGTTTCAATTTAAACTCGAAAATTGTAAATTAACGATTTTTTTTACTTTTTAAAAATGAGACATTTCTAAAATTGAGACATTGCATTCTTTCTTTAGTCTACAAATTGCTTGTGTCATTATTTTCGAATTATTACATTTGGTGAAAATATAAGATTGAATGTTCCAAATTATACGATGCATGATTCCATGTAAAAATTTTATTATCAGATGATATTATAAAGCTTTATTGTTTTTACGCGTTTTGCACTTGTTTACGTTAGTGCATCAATTGGTTAAATTAGAAAATCTGTAATATAAATTCGACGATTGGATGAATTAGAATTTATTTGAAACTTTTTTAAAACAATTTCGTTGAAATGAAATCCGATTTACAAACAACAAGAACAATTGCAAACATGGTTTTTTTTTTCTCTGAGGATTTAAAGTCAATCAAAGAATGAAATGAATTACGTATATAACTATTATATTTATTCAATTTAAACTCGAAAATTGTAATTTAACGATTTTTTTCCTCTTTTAAAATAAAACATTTCTAAAATTAGTCATTTCATTCCCTCTATAGTCCACAAATTGCTTGTGTCATTATTTTTGAATTATTACATTTGGTGAAATTTTGATGATCGCCAAGTTTCAGATCGATGAGTATCGGCTTGTCTGTGAAGCAAAGAGACGCGATGGCGATTTTCCAATCCAGTGGCATTTAACAACTGCTCTCCTGTTTGGCATTTTCTTAAGTAAAATTAATTAATTCCTGACTTTTTTTATTCAAGTTGCAAATTTTAAAAGAAATAAAAGTTTACATTATAATTAAGACCATCTACAATCAAGACAAAAATATTTAAAAAAGAAAACGAGTCGTTAAAGACCATTGGATTGTAAATTAGCTACCCGGTGGGCAGTGCTGACCAGATTGCCACCTCATGGTTCGGCATGAAATTGTGAAGCCTTAATTTCTCTAGCCCCGTTGACCCCCACTAAGCTGTTGCGGCATTAATTTATAAGAAAAAAATGAAAAGCTGCTGGAAAATTCAAAGAAGTTGTGCTTTGAATATTTGGTGCTTGAAATGAACAGAAATACAAAAAAGGAAACTAGGTCTGTTTAAAAAACAGTAATTTTAAAATTATCTTCTTTTCAAAACAAACCAATTAATTACATTTTTTTTCTCACTCTTAACTGAAAAAAAGTAAAAAGAATAACGTGAATACGATCCTTAAAAATGCTTATAAATTAACCTTTATCACTGTTAAATATTTTTTTTTCAAACCATGAAATTTTCCACTGCAAATTTTATTGGATAGAAATTATAATCCCATAGAAATAATACAGTACTGAATCCAAGTTTCTGCAAGTGTGTACTACTGTTAATGGATAAAAATTATAAAGACTGTTGCATTTAAACTAGATAATTTTAAAAGCATAAATGAAATATATTGTTACAACGCTTATGCAATACTGAATTGAAACTCTAGAAATGAAACAATACTTACAGTACGTTTATGTATTCGAAACGTTTATTTATACCAGAGGTCGCCAAAGTGGTCTATATAGCCCCCCAGGGGTCTATTTAACATAAGCAGGGGTCGATCTGAGCCAGGGGGTCGAATGGGGGTCGATCCGCCCCGGAAGGGTCGATTGGTCGAAGGATTATCAGTATTTTTCAGATATGTGACAATTAGAAATAAGAAAAGAAGACTTAAAAATATATACAGGTAAACTTCAAAAATTGAGCGACGATTTTAAACTGCGTTTTGTTGATTTGGAAAACATTGACATCCCGGATTGGATTATTGTGCCATTTTCTGCTCAAATTGAAAACGTGGACATCAACCTGCAAGATGAGCTTGCTGAATTATTATGGGGATTTGAAGCAAAGACGCTTTTTAAAAATTTAACAATAAGCAAATTTTGGACAAATATTAATGCCAAAATATGTAAGACTTTACGAAGTGGCTCAGCCATTTATGATAGCATTTCCAAGTTCCTATATGGTTGAAGCCGGTTTCAGTCACGTAAATTCAATCTTAACTAAGAACAGAAATAAATTAAATGTGGAGTTTCGAGGGGATTTAAGATTAAAATTGACCAATTTTGAACCCAATATAACGAACCTTGCAAAAAAAAAAACACCAGGCACACCCATGTCATTGATTAAGAAGCAATAAATCCGTAGTTACTTTACTTATTATTTCTACTTACTTATAATTACTTATTATTTCATAAATATTAAGGTATTTATATTTCAACATTAATATATTTTTCATAAAACTATTGTTACACTATGTACTATTACTTTAATAAATGTTCAAAATCATAAAATAAATGTACAAACACAATATCTAATAGTTTTATTTTAATTAACAGAAAATTACTTTTATGGGGGTCGATGGAGATTTCGAAAAATTATGTAGGGGTCGATGATCAAAAAAGTTTGGCAACCCCTGATTTATACGAAGCGTTTATATAAACGAAATAATACATTTATGCATTACTGAATACATATTTAGATAGAAATAATACAATACTTCTATGCTGAGATATAAATAGTATAATATTGAATCCAAATTTCTACAAGTGTGTAGTACTGTTAATGTATCACACATTTTAAAATTATTACATTTAAACTAGATAATTTTAAAAGCCAAAATGAAATATATTGTTGCATCGTTTGTACAATACTGAATTCTTATTCAGATAGGAAAAATACGATGCTACTTTACACTTATATACTCGAAACATTTATTTATACGAAACGTTTATACATGCGAAATAATGCGTTTATGCATTACTGAATTCAAATTTAGATAAAAAATAATACAATACTACTATACTTTAGATAGAAATAATACAATACTGAAATCAAGTTTCTGCAAGTGTGTACTACTGTTAATGTATTGCACTTTTAAACTAATACATCATACCTGCCAACTTTCACTCTTTCCGGGAATGGAATTTCAGAGTGGTAATAAAGCACTAAACGAAAAACAATCTGACTCAAAAATATATTTATATTTTGATCCCGTTGAAATTCACTTGGACAAGGATTATTACGCTCTTATATATTTATTGTAATTATTTATATGTAGTGGTGGTCAAACTTATTTATAATTATCATTATAATTCAAAAAGTTAATTGGAATAACATGAGTATTGCTACCTCTTTAAATACGAAAATAAAATCTTCCGGAAAATCCGGAAGAGTTGGCAGGTATGATACATTCACCGAAGAGCCATTAGATTATGACCACCCTGGTAATAACATGTAGGACCACCTTTAGCCCTCAAAACTGCTAGCACCCGCCGTGGTATTGATTCCACAAGGTGCTGATAGGTAGTCGAAGGTATCTGGTTCCAAGCGATCACCAACTGGTCCTGCAAGTCCCTCACATTGCGAGGGGGTAGCGTGGCAGCACGAATTTGGTTTTCCAAGTAGAACCACAAATCTCTATTGGATTAAGGTCAGGTGAATTTGGGGGCCAAAACATGACTTGAAAGTCACTGGAATGTTCCTCGACACTTATGACATGGTGCATTATCCTGTTGTTAAACACCATCCCCCGCAGGAAAAACTGTTGCCATGANTGTTGGTGAACACCCTCCCCCGCAGGAAAAACTGTTGCCATGAATGGATGAACCTGGTCTGCGACTATGTTGAAGTATTTTACAGACGTCAGGGATTGTTGTATGAGGATTATGGGTCCTAATGCGCCCCATGAAAACATTGTTCCTGGGCGAGAAACCAAAACCTGGGCGAGCCCATTGTTATAGATGGAGGGTGGTCATAATGTAATGGCTCTTCGGTGTATAAACTAGGTAATTTTAAAAGCATAAATGCAATAAACTGATACAACGTTATTATTTACTCGCTCTCGTGCGTTGGGGAAATTTTGACAGTTTCAAATATTTTAATCAATCAAATCTCTACTAGGCATTTAAACGGTCAACAACGCATGTTTTAAAATTTTTTCGACCAGTGCGAGCAAAACATATTGACTATGAATCACCAAATATAGTTTATCGGCAGTTAAAATTTCGAAAACTAATTACTTACAGACTTGAAATTTTCATTTCGCCTAATGACAATACGAGTTTTAATTCTTTATTGAGTAATACAAGCAGAATTAAATGCTATATTATCGCCAATCAAAGTTTTGGCCACTTTCCAATTAGCTAAGGAGCTCTAATTTTAACTGGATTTTTTTAAGCTGGTTATATCAAAGTTTATCTCCAATGGAATTTTCAATTACTTTCCGACAAAAACAAACTACTTGAACTAAAAAGAAAAATTATATAAATACCATAGAAAATGAATTCAAGTGAATTAAAAAGGAAAAATAACTTTTTTTTGTCAGACTTAGGAAGAATAGCGTAGACTGTAACATTTCGTTAACTTCTATCACTACTGAAAATCACTACTATCACTACTGAAGTTTTTTGCGAAAATTTCAAAAATTTCCTACCTTTTTCGCCCTACGTTTTTGTTTTGGATTTGCCAAAACCTAAATAAATAAATAAATAATTTGCTTCTTTTAAAACATTTAAATAACTTGGTTTTTAACTTATTTGTTTATTTATTTAAATTTCTCTTTATTTTATGTGTTCTACATAATTCGTCAACTTTAGATCAGTGAAACAAATGCATGATTAAAAGAAATAGCGAGCATCTCCACAATTTTAGTTGCCTTATTCAGTTGCATCTAGCATGGCAAGTAGCCAAATTAAATTGGACGTTTCGAAGCCCTGCATTTTTCAGAGCACTCTATTTACACAAATGTGAATGAACTGCAAATCAACATTTTACGAACTGTCAGTGACAAAAGAATCCACATCACGCTTTCATTAACGCTTGGCTTATTCCTTCATTTACGCTTAATTACTTAGAATTACCCAAAATGTATCTTTCCGTAACGTTAAACCGTAACACCAGATGAAATATATTTTTACGCTTTAGTTAGATAAATTAACTTCAAACAATCTGATCTTTTAAAAACATACGTGCGTTAAATGGCTAATTCCATTTAGCATTTTGAGTTAGACACAATGTTTGCGTAACTCGTTTTGGTTTTAATTAAAACACTGTTTGTTTGGATTGAGATAGCTTCAACCCTGAAGGGAATAGTGAGGCCATATGAATTCTTGGCTCTGAATTAACAGGTCTCGAATGGGGAAATACGCAAAAAATGAAATTAATATTAAGGGTCCAAACTTTTTATAGCTCTCCTGACCAAGCGTTAGGGCCCATATTTCCCCGAGTGCGGCTACCCCCTATAGTTTGGGGGTCAAAAATCCGAAACCGTCGTAAGAAACGTATGTTTATTCAGAGAAAGTATTCAGAAAAAGTACATTTTTGTGTCTGATTTCGTAACTTATCATCTGCACCATATAATTAGTATATTTTAGATCACCCCCTCAAACCATTAAGATGGAGTCCTAGATAGTGAAGATCCGATCATTAGATCAAAAAAGTATTCAGAGTGGTCCGTATTTTATTTTGCGCACTTTTTGCATATTCCTTTCTGCTAACAAGCACTTTATTTTTAAAAAGGATGATAAGCATTGGCTTCAGATGCAGATATGGTTATTTATATTAAAATTTAATGTAAAAAAAATAATATTGAGTCTGCAAAATATTTCATTATAATAAAATACTTGTGTTGCTAATTTCTTCTTTTCGAAAATTAAAATGAGCATTAATAATATTAATTTATTTCTTTATTTTGAATAATAATAATTCTTCCTTTCGTCTCAAATTAGTTTCTACAATTCAAATAGGTGGAATCATGAATGGATTCATGCAGTTTAGTAGATAGACACCAATAAACTTATCATCATTATTGTCGAGACAGCCCATAATGGGTCCTGGCCTTCTCGAAGATTCTCTTCCATCATGATCTGTAAATTCTTAGCAACGGTTCAGCAGTTTTTACAGTTCAGTACGAGGAAGTCCTTATATACAGAATCGAACCATTTGAGTTTATGTTTTCCTCTTGGGCGATTTCCAGATGGCCTAGTCATAAAAATTCTTTTTGATGTACATTCACCTGGTGACCGCAATAGATGACCAGCCCATTTCATGCTTTGAATTTTGCTATATTTAGTAATATCATGTTCTTTATAAAGGTGGTAAAGTTCATGATTGAATCTTCTTCACTGTAGTCAATTAATCTGAATATCGAAGGATTTTTCTATCGAATACACCAAATGCACATTCAACTTTTGAGAGCATTGTCCATTATTCCGAGGCGTATGTTCGTACAGATCGTATAAGTACTTTACATAAGTACAATAAAAGTACACCATTAATGAATTCATGAGTCATTGGGATAGATTCAAGATTCATTAGAACCTGGAAGTAGTTCTATGTGATTATTGGAGCTATAGAGATGGATTAAATAGAATTAAGTGTTTTAATGACAATTAATAAGACACCATCCGTTGTGTCATGAATTTTGTGAGAATTATGAAGGAAAAACGTGTATTTATAATTTTTGTTTTCAGCTAGATTACATTTTTTATCAAATTAGATTCCTAATCTATTCAGAAATCTAATCAAATTCTTTTATTTTTCCTTTTTTGGAATAATGTTACAATATTTTTTAAGGAAAACTTTCCTTCTCAGAGTATTTTCGATTAAACATTTTCATGGATCATTAGTTGGAGACCACTGAAAAAAGCAATTTTTTTTTCAGTGCTAAAGATGTTTCAAATTTAGAGCATTAGCGCTAAAATTACTAATGGTCTCTTTCCATAGTAGAATTCTTAATGTCCTGAACAGATTATCTTGTTAAATCTGTGCTTTAATTTACGATACTTTAAATTTCTTGTTTCATATTTTAGGATGAATGCAGCGGAAGCATGCTTCATACTTGCAGCCAGAAATTATGCAGATCGCTCAGCAGCAGTAAGTAGAGATTTCATTTTCTGTTATAAATTACCCGTGTTTATGACACAGTTTGGCTCAATGTAAAACCTCAACAGCAGTTTGTTAAAAAATTTCTTCCTTTCATTTTTATCCTGTGTTAATAATATAATGCTTAATTATCCAATACCAGCTGAATGCTGAATAACGTCTAATGACTTTTATGTACTATAGTACCTCTCTTTTTATAGGACATAATCGTGTGAGTTGAAAACGAGATTATTACATCGTTTCCTTATTTCATTTTTACGGCTTTTTAATTTTTAATATTTAAATATTTTTTAACAAAAATTTTATTTATTAATATTTTTTTCTTCTCTTTTAAATTATTTATGTTTTTTTTCTTCCTTTTTTTCCTTGTATATTTAACTTATTTTACGGGTTTTATATACTTGAAGCTTATGCTCAGTATAAGAAACTTATTTTTAATTTTCTTTATTCTTTTTTGTTACTTATGTTATACATCTTTGTGCTATACATCTAAATAAGTGGATAAATTTAATTGTAGTAACCAAAAAGAGAGTTTAAACTGACACGTGTATGGCACTTCTAATTTTATTTTACTTTGCAACCGACGTTAAACCCCAGTATTTGGATTTGTGACTACTAATGTTCAACTCCGTATCCTTGTAATTCTGAATCCAATCCAGAAGACAAGGGAACTCATGAATCAAGTATTGGGGAAAATTCACCGTCGTTGAGAACTTTTTGATGGAACGAACCCGCATTTGCGTTACATGGAGAGGAAGACCACGAGGACCTGCAGTTAGATTAACTGCAGGGGAATCTTACCCATGATCCGTCTACCCCTGAAGATATTTTACGTCAGCATTGTGGTCGGTGTGAGCCGAGTGCTGAATTCGTATCGACCAGCCATACCTAGGATTCGAACCTGGTTCACTTCAATGGAAGGCGAACGCTCTAACCCCTGAGCCACAACAACTCCGAAAATACTAATTGTTTTTTTTTTCACGCATTATATCTGCTAATATTTAAATACTATTTTTATTTGTATTCTTTTGTTCTCAATGTAGTAGATGCCTTCAATTATTGTAGTTACACATCCTGTTAACCTTAAATATGTTTCTTCCCTTTAACAGGATGCCCTCAGTTATTGTAGTTACTCATCCTGTTAACCTTAAATATGTTTTTTCACCCTTAACAGGATGAACATACAATTCTCAGGTCATGGGCTGTGAGAGATTTTGCGCCGAGTGTGCCTCAGTATGTACAAATTTTCCGTCCTGAAAACAAAGTGCATGTTGCATTTGCTGGTAAGCATTACTCCCTTAATTATTTACAATTATTTACTTAAACCCTTGACATACTAAGACGTTTGGGAGATGTCATTTGTTTCTTATGTCAAAACAATAATTAACGCGTCTCAGACGTCAACACAGAGATGCCAACTTGCTCCGGACAACAAATAAATATTTTGAAGTGGTATTTTATCAATTGTGATTCTTGGTTTAATAAATTCAATTTAGTAGATTTTTATCCACCACTATTTCTAAATAGTTCATAGGCTTATATAATTCACCACTTTATTATAGCTGTGCCATGCTAAGCCCGCCTTAAAATGAATGCAAAAATTGTCCAATATTTGCCGTTTTTTTATTATTTTGGGGTGTCCGGAGCAGTTGGCATTCCGTTGCGAGTTGATGTTTATAGCGCAATTAAAGAGCATTTCTATATCAAGAAATGATAAGTCATGGGGTGAAAAAATTTCAATTTGTCTGGTAAAGAGTGTTGGAGTGGTATGTTACTCCTCTGAGCATATTGAATTAGCAGCATTAAGTTTCTATCATGTGTTGGCAATAGGTATAGTTTCTTTCACAGATAATCCGAGTGATGTCATTCCGTGTGCATGTAGTTACTTAATTTGTCTGAAAGTCATGTATTGTTGAACACTTCACTAATTCACGTCAATATGTCGTTGTGCCTGAGTGGTGTGCGATGTTACCCTTATATGTTTAAGCTGTATTGTAAGTAATTATTTTCAATTATTTGGTTATAGAGATGGTGATGTATTTAATAAAAAAAATTACAAATCTTGACGTTTTACTATCCGTATTCACTCACCACCCACTGTGCGCGCCTCTGTCAACAAGGAGCAGTTTCAGAGACACAGGTCAACTCATGTGCATTTCCTTAAACTCGTATTTTAAGCTACATATTAAATTTTTTAAACACACATGTCATGCTTTGTCCATCTTCATTAACGATTTGATTTATAGTGAATTTTTGAGCTCACATTTCAAGACATGTTCAATTAACATTTAGATCTGAAGTCGATTGAAAACGCATTTTTTATAACTAAATTTGTAGGTAACATAATGATAGAACCATTTGGTATAAACAGCTGTCTTTTGAAAATATTTATTTTTCATATTGTATCCACATTTTGTGATTAGACATTAATGAATTAAACTCGCATTTTAAGCTTTATCCAAGATTTAGACGAGTATTGCAATCGATGTTGTTGTTGTCGTTGCAGTCCATGAAGACAGGGGCTGCTATTGCTCCAGTTGTTTAATGGGGCCATCTATGGCCAAGAACTCGACTTCTGTCACACCCGTTTATAAGGTGGACCCATTCATACATCCACAGATCGTACTTATGACCTGAACCAGAGAACTGTCAATCTCCAATTCAGTAACCTCAGAGGTAAAATTTGTTATGGTACATAGAGGACTTTGTGACCCGACGGATTTAACATGTGCCAGTCATCATTTACTACATGGGGGAGTCTTTGTGGCTGACTGGATTCGAGCTCCCGTTCTTTCGAATATGAGTCCAGCTCCCTGCAAACCAGGCTATCCCGGCCCTGCAATCAACGTTAATTTTCTTTAATGAGCAATTTGACATACGTAAAAATATGAAAATTGTCCTACGATGTTAGTTGTTTCGAAACTAAGCGTAAGCACTTTTATTTGATCTTAGTAATATCTTTCGATATTAAAAAAACATAAGATCCACTGCCGACGTTGACTCCACCTCTATTTTGGATGTTCAACTTAACGTTACATTTTGGTTTGCTGCACTAAAACGATAAGACTTAGAAATTTAAAATTACTAAACGTTGTAGAAATGTATGCTGGGGCTACAAAGGACTAAAAAAATTAACATTCGATTATTTTCTCAAGACATCTATTATTATAAGCTAAATTTGTTGGATATAAGGACCGGAAAGTAATCTCGTTTCTGCTCTTAATAGAATTATTAACTGCTAAACTTGTAGCAAAAAGAACCCTTTTTCCATCTTGTAAAAAGTGCAACTCCAGCGAGGCTAGTCCTCACCATCTACTTGATTGCCTGGGTTTCACCATGGAAGAGGTTCTTGAGAGACCTCTCCTTTTCCTCGATTTTTTGAAGACTCACGGCCTCAT